ATATGAAATATCAAGTAAATAAGATACCTTTAAAAGTTTTTATTAAACCTTGAATTAGTAGAACAACAATTTTATTAAAAAAGAAAAAATTTTCTAGATTCAAGTAATGGAATATACAACATTCATGGTTGTTTTATTTATTAAATATAAATTTGTAAACATATCACGAATTGTAACATGGTTGACCCAAACCTTGTCTAACTTGTCCGATCTTTGAATATACCCCTAGCAATTTAAAGGAATAGTGAAAAAAATTAAAGAAAAATCACTTTAAAGAAAAATCAAAAATTAAAGAAAAATCAAAAAATTAAAGAAAAATCATAAACTTAAACGAACAAAATAATATGAATTTGCATAATTATGGAAATTCTTTTAATTCTGACCAACATACCGAAGATTGATGGCAGGAAGTAGTAAAGGATTTTCAAGATTTGGATAAAATTCATCAACTTCTTTTAATGCAGAATTTAAAAAATAAACACTTGGTTCAAAATACACCAAGCAACCTGCAACACAGCTTCAAACCTAATACTTCGTCTGGAAAAACACTATTTGAAATAGTGAATGAAAACACCCATAGTAACCCAACATTTATTCCTCCTGTGTCCCAAAATTCTCAAGAAAAATACAACTCAAACATGTCAATAAATCAACAAATGTTTTCCACACAGAAAATTCAAACACATCAATTAATCAAAACTTGGGAAAAATGTTACCAAACGAAGAATTTGGAAATCAGGTTTTTGGTTAATTTGAAATCTAATTTCTTTCAAAAAATTTTTAAGCGATACACTGGAACTTTGGGTAAATTTAATATTTTAATTAATTAAAATATTTCTATTTAATCTGATTTAAAGACGACATTGTGAATAAAAGCAAAACAATTATGGATTAAGACAGAGAATATAGAAATTAAATAAAGTTTATTGTAAAGGAAAGTTAGAAGTTCAAAACAATTTTCAATTATATAATTCTTTTTATTCTTTATAGGGTTTACAAGTAAATTAACATTAAACAATATTTGTTTAGTAATTTTTGATAAAATATTTTATTTTTGAATAAAAGTGTCTTTTTGACTACTCTATACTGTTCAAATAAAATTTTTCTAACTTAATTTTGAACATTAGCTACGGCATTAACAGTTGATGGAGTCACAGAATTAGTGAATATACGTTTGAAAAAAGATTTAATTAAAGCAAATTCCTTTAAATAAGCCTCTCTGTAGTCAGTACTATTAATTTAATTTCTAAATTAATTTATTTAAACTCTTTAAATCTACCTATTAATAAAAAGTATTGGTGCATTTGAAGCCGAGCCAAAACAGTATATAATTGTAGAATATGATAATATAAACCAAATTTCTTCATTTATGCCGTTTTCGATTGAAAATCCAAGTAGTAGCATTCCTACGAGATAGAAAATAAGGCAAGAACAAATATTCACAAAAACAATAAGATATAGAGATCGATAAAGCTTCTTAATTGTTTCATGATGCAAATCTAAATGATATTATAGATATAAAATATCTCCAAATGTTTCATTTTACTCCCCTATCTTCTTCTTTTAACTTTACAAAGGATATACCTTATAAATGATGCACCCCTAAGTTTTCCTCTGAAAATTCCATCGATATTGAGTCGAAAAGCAAAAAGAACAAAGTCTATAACTACTTTCTTCATCGAGATCTCAAATCTCGAAAATCAACTAAAAATCGGGGTACAGTACATCAAAAAATATTTTTACCCCCTTAGGTCTTATATAAAAATTTTCTTTTGAGCCCTCCAGGAAGCCCCCCCCCCTTTGTAAATAAGAGCAACCACGCTTTCAAGGTGGTGTTATATTTATGAAACGAACTGTATTTCCTCAGCATGAACATAATAATAATTTTTAGTATGACAAATCGTACCTGTTACAAACTTTGTTAATATTCCAACGAATAAATAATTCAGTAAAGTAATGATGTAAATAATTAAAGGGATCACATTACGAATTTGACCGGTTGATGAAATAATTATCGCGATATCCATAGGATTGCCTGGTATTCTAAAACTTCCATATTTTTCGCATACGGGTAAAATGCCAATGAAAAAGATAAAGATATTGTACAAGGTTATTAATAATATATTAACAATTATATATTTCCTTTGTTTCATGTTATTGTATCTGAAATTTTTATTTAATACCACTTTAAGTTCAAGAACTGTTTTAGACTCCTAGTTGCGACCAAAGATCAGGCCGGCATGAAAATTAAATTTTAGATTTTGGGTATCAGGAATTGAATATTAGGAATTCATGAATTTTATCAGCAATTTTTACTTCCTTTTTTCGGAACTCTCGACCAAAAAAATATTTGAACCTTCCGTTTTGTCCAAGTTTGTAAATTCGAAATTCCATGTACGTGTATTGTAACTTTTTAGGGTTTTCTTATATTTTTTGGTTTAAAAAATTTCCGTCACTAAAATTTCCTAATAAGTTTAATTTTTGTTTTTAATAGATCTAAATATTTATTAAATCTTACAATATAGGTAAAGTAACGCCTACTAAGCGATCAATGCTAATTAAAAGTAACATAAAAGTCGAAGTATTGAATACAATTATTACATAAAATATATAGATTTTGGATAACCAATTTGGAAGAAAATTAATTCCAGTTGTCGATGTTGCCAAATAAAAAAATATTACCGTATTGAACAAAATCTCAAATAAGGCGTAAATTACAAGCAAAATACTTGTATTACTCCTTAATGCTGTATATTTTTTCCTAATAATTAATTAAAATAATTTTATGAGAAATGATGGACAGCCTAATGTAACAGAAATTGGAAGTGTTGCAGATAGGGTTGTAATTTGTCTCATTCCCCGTCCCCCAAAGTCGGAGAATTTAAGAGTTTTTTTGAAAATTCCTCGTCCCAGCCCACGTCCAAAATTCTCAAATTAAAATTTTTGATCTCTCATCCCCATTAACACAGGGTTACGATCGACAAAATGCCACTCAAAAGTATCAAAATCTTGATTAAAAAGTATACAGGGAGAAAATTTGCAAATAAAAAGTATACTTAAAATTAAATAAAAAATATTTATTCGTGCACTTTTTTAGGCGCCAATAGACTTTTTTAGGCGTCTATTTTTTGCGCTGCAGGCGAAAATTTTGAGAATGTTGGAGGTCCTTAAGCCAAATTTCTTCCATTTCTTGCGCCGCAGGCAAAAATTTTTTTAAATTTGGACCCAAGAAGCTAGATTTCTTCCTTTTTCAGCACCGTAGGCGAAAATTTTGAGAATTTCGAATGCCGTAGGCCAAAAAGATTCACTTTTATGCCCAATCCCTTCCCCAATTTCATTTTCAATCCTAAATGTTGATTTAAAAGTAGATACTTTCAAAAAAGTACAAATTCAATTTCGTAAGTATGGAGGTCGATTTAAAAGTAGAATACTTTTAAAACAGTATGAATCGTAACCCATCATTAACATTATATCAGTGCGAGTACAAAAATCTTAATTTATTTATATCCATACCTATATTTTATTGTAATATAACAAACACTTGAATTCATTATAATTGAAATTAATGCAAATAAACTTATAAATAAAGCATTCAAAAATAATTTTTGCATAAAACCTTTTTCATTATATGTAGAGTAGATTGGCTTTAAATTAAATTTTATTTTAAAAATTTTATTGGATTTAGATCTTTGTTCAGACCTCTTCCCTAGTTTTTTCATGTTTTATGAATTTTTTTTGTTATTTTAATGAAATATTTTATCAATTGTATCTTCTTGATAAATTAAATGTTTAACACAAATAAACTTACACTATAGTAAGTTTTGCCGTCCATAATTAAATTAATTTTTTAATATAATTTTATTTTAATTAATTATAAAATTTTCAAATAAAAAATTAATATAATAAAAAGAAAATTCTTAAGAAACATTTTAATACAAAATAAATTATTTATTATTAACGTAATCTGTTTATATTTACAATTAAACACACCTGCCATTAAAATAATTTAATAAATATTTGCTTAAAGTCTATTGTCGTGAAAAATAATTTTAAGGTGGTAATTTGTTGAGATTAATTGGCACCTGCAATTTGTCCTTTTTGACATATTAATTAAATATATAATTCAAGAGAATGATATCTATAATTTTAATAATAAATAACATTGTTGAGGAAGTCTAAGTCTTGACGGAGGTGTACAAGTCTCGTAGAAATTTTAAGTGCGGGGGAGAGTGTTGTTACGGTTACCTGGTGAGCTTGAAGGTCTTGCAAACAATTCATTTATATAAATATCAGGGTGGCCCTTTCCAAAACACTAAAATAGGGCCAGCCACTCAAAAATAGGGCAAAAATATGGCAAATGAGAGAACAGGGAAAAAATAGGGCGAAAAGGTCAAAAATAGGGAAAATCCCTGTAAATAGGGTAAAAGGGCCGCCCTGATAATTAGAGGCATAAACGATTGTTTTCAGATCTTTATCGATCAAGAAAAAATAAAATAAGTAGAATTGTAAATACAAAATATATTCTTAATCTTTTTAGTTTTTGATTTGAAATTTTAGAATTTAAAATTAAATTAAAAAATATTTAGAAGGAAATAAAGAATAGATGACGAATTTATTATTTCAAAATAATTATTTTAATTTAAAATTTTTTAGTCAATAATTTCCCAATAAATCTGCACTTTGAATTTTTATTAGTTTTATTTGTTCAGCTTTTTCAAATCATCTACCTTCAATAATATTTATTAGTCATTCAAAATATCAACTGATATTTCCCAATAATGCTGAAAAATAAGTCTATAGAAGGATGAAATTTAAAAAATTAAATTTTGAAGTAAACAGATTTTTTTATTCAGTCAGTAATTTTCAATTTCAAAATAAGGAAAAAGGCAAAATCTAAATAAACTTAAATTTATCCTTGAGTTAATTTGAAAATAAAAACGCTTAGATAATGCTTCAATTGACATTTAAAATTAAAAAGACCCAAAGTTTCTTAATTAAAAATGTTTTTAAAAATTTTAATTTTGCTTTTAATTATAAACAATATTATTGCTGAAGATTCTAATAGCGAAGACAGTAGCAATGAAAATTCTAATAATAAGTTAAGTGATGAGTTTTCCGACTCTGTTGATGTTCGAGAGGTAAAGAATAACTGAATAAAATTATTTTATAACTACATATTCAAAAAATTCAATAACAATCAAAGTTAACTCTTGAAATTTTTTATAATAAAAATAATAAAAAATTCTTAATTCTATGCAAATTAGTGTTTTTGAGTAATTCATTCTTAATCATGATCTATTAGAAATTTTCAATACGGGGGAGAGATGAAAAAAATGAAAAAAAACTATATGAGCACTTTAATGGATACGGGCCTTCAGCTATAAATCATGGCTTAATTAGAAAAAATACTGTACCCTTTTTTCTAAATAATAAATTTGTACAGAATGATAATGATCATCAACCATCCAATCGATCGACAAGCAAAATCTTCAAGACCCGCAATTTATTAAAGAAGATGATACAGATGCATTGCCTCCGTTAAATAACGAAGAGAATAATCGCATTAATGAATACACAACAGAAAAAATTAAGGAAGATGAGGAAGATCAACTAAATAATGAAGGATCCGGTATAGAAGATGAATTTCCTGCGGAAGATAATTATGGAAATGGATTGGATATTAATACAACTGCAAAATATGCTAATGATGAAGATGATAATGATAACAATGAAAGTGATGGTCAAGGATGCGTGTATGAGGTTCGATTTCTTAACGAAAAATCCCCTCGCTCTAAATATCCGGATCTGAAAGCCTTCTAAAGTTTGCTTGTTTATCAAGTCTACCATCGCACCCTTGGTTATCATTTTTTAAAGGAAGCAACTTATCGATCATACATTATTATAAGCCATTCTTATTAAACTAGAAATTCTCATAATTAGGGTTGCCAAAATGGCCCGACTCGGACCGAAAGATCGAGTCGGGCCTAGGATATTTGGCCCGAAAAAGACTCGTTTGACCCGACTCGATAAAAATTATGCCCGAAAAAGACTCGTTTGACCCGACTCGATAAAAATGAGGCCCGAAAAAGACTCGTTTGACCCGACTCGATAAAAATGAAGCCCGAATAATGACTCGGAAAAAACTGGCCCGACTCGAATGTCCTCGATAAATATTTCCTTTTGGATCTTCCTCTTTGATATTTCTTTTACTGAGTAAGGGAAATATATTTTCTTTCAGAACTAATTAAATGAGCGGTTAGTTGAGTGGTTAAGGCGCTGGATTTTATTTAAAGGATTGTTGGGTTCGAGTACTAATCATCGTTTGAGACTTATTTTCAGATTATTTTAACTTTTTTTAATACAAGGGACGATTTTAAACCTTTGATATTATTTTTTGAAATTCAAAACTCTAGATTTTTCAGCTTTAGCGCAAAAAATGGAAGAAATCTGGCTTAAGGACCTCCAAAATTCCCAAAATTTTCGCCTGCTGCGCAAAAAATGGAAGAAATCTGGCTTCTTGAGCTCCAAAATCCTCAAAATTTTCGCCTGCGGCGCAAAAAATGAAGAAGGCGTAAAAAAGATCCCCGTGGCCCTCCTCCCCCCCCCCGTCGGGGAACAACCCTAGTGAAGAAGGATTTGAAGATATGAGGATTAAGATGGATAAGAGATTTACAGGGATTAAGATGATTTGGAGAGATCTCAGGGGATTTGTAGGGATAAAGAGAAGTCTCAAGAGAAATTGAGGGGATTAAGAGGGATATCAGTGGATTCGGAGGCATTAATGGGGATTCGAAGAAAGGAGGATTAAGGTGGATCAAGGATGACCTCATAATGACCTCTTAATCCGCCCAAACTGACCTCATAATCCGCATCTCCGCATCTAATCCTCCGATATCCTTATTAATCCTCCGATATCCTTATTAATCCTCCGATATCCTTACTAATCCTCAGATATCCTTGCTAATCCTCCGATATCCTTCCAAATTCTTTGATACCCCTCCAAATCCACTGATATCCCTCCAAATACACCAATATCCCCGATATCTATTACGTAGAAATTTTTTTGTAAAAATCCCGGAATCCCGGCGGGATCCCGGGAATTTAAAACGGGATTACCGGGATTACGGGATTAATCCCGCGGGATCCCGTCCCGTACAAAATTTTGAAAAAAAATCCCGTTCCGGGATCCCGGGAATGCGATTTTGCCGGACTCTAGTTAATATGATTTATTTTTGATGACAAATAAGCAAAATTATTTTTGTTTTTTTGAATAAATCTTTTTGAGAAAAGGCCCGAAAAAGTCTCGATGCCCGACTCGATAAAAATTATGCCCGAAAAAGACTCGTTTGACCCGACTCGATAAAAATGAGGCCCGAAAAAGACTCGTTTGACCCGACTCGATAAAAATGAGGCCCGAAAAAGACTCGTATGACCCGACTCGATAAAGATGAGGCCCGAGACCCGACTCGATAGAAATGAAGCCCGAAAAAAATGACTCGACCGTCGGCCCGACTCGAAAACGGCAACCCTACTCATAATATAATTTTTATTCAAAACTAAAATAGTTCAAAATAAAATATAAATTATCTCAGTAAATATTAAAATTAATTTAGGATGGTGTAATCAACGATAATGGTGAGGAACGTACACCTACATCGGAGGAACAACAACAAATTGAGGAATATCTTCAAGAAATGCGTGAATTTGAAGAGCAAATGGTCAAAGACAGTGCCAATTTCATGAGAAATTTGGCACAGTTCGTGATGAGTCAATTCCAAAACATTTTTGGGTAAATTTTACAAATTTATTCTGCAAAATATAATTAAGCAGAAATCAAGTATGTATAATAAATTAACAGCCCTTCGTGAATAATTTGAACATTCTAGAAGCACAGATAGCTCAATAAGTGGAGGGCCTGGCAAAAACATAACATAAGTGCATGACATCTTTGTATAACTAATATCAATAATAGGGTTGGACACAAATGATTAACCGAACTGAAACCGGAATCCGAGGGTACCGGTTAATAACCGGAAGTGTCCAAACTTAATCAATATCCTAAATGACACAAGCCCATATATGTACAAATAGGTTCGTTACATTTCGGAAATATAAAACTTTGTCATAGACAAATATTAGTATTATAAATATAGTCAAAATTTATAATCTTAAACATAATTTATAACCCCAAGTTCTTCTGCCTCTTCTCTGTCAAAGAACAATAATAATTTGTTGGAGAAAAAACCTGTAGAAGCACCAACACCTCCATGTTTATGCAAAAACTGTGACAGCATGACATTTATACAAAATAAACAAAACAAATATTTTAAAAATTTTGTTAATTAATTAACAAAATACGAAGAATAATTTCCATATTGTTTATCTCTTTTTTGAGATTTTCGAGTTATTTAATCCATTCTTTATAAATTTAAATTAATTTTTTTTGCAAAAAGTTGATTAGATTAAACTTTATTGTTTGGACCATACTTAAACGTCTCAGGTGATGGTTTCAACAAGGGTAGCAACCCGACCCCCGAAACCCCGACGGATTTTTTGTCAAAAACCCTGATCCGAACCCCGAAGGCTCTTCCCCGACAATCCCGACGCAAAACCCTCTTCTTCCACAAAATAAGTATAAGGCCTTGGTTTAATACACTCTGTAACAAAATGATAGCGCCACCTAGTTTTTTATCAATATCTTAACAAATATGTAACGGATGTGTTTCAAATTTTGGCAGAATATAGGTAAGGATATTATGTATCAATAATGTAAAGAAAAAGTTTAATGCAATTTTTAAAAAAAATTTTATGATAATAAATTTAATTCTCAAGTGTAACAAAAAGATAGCGCCACTTGTATTATCGACCTTAGGAGTGGTCCGAAAAATCTACAAAAATTCCTGTAGACATATCTATGATATCTGTAGAAAATACAAGAGAAATGAAGTTCTGATATAATTCCTTCATTGAGATCTGAAAACCCAAAAATCAACGGAAAACCGGGGTAGACGTCTTTAAAAAATATTTTCGACCCCTTATAGGTAAAATAAAAATTTAATTTTGGACTTATTTGAAAGCCCTTGAAATTTGCTACAAGTTAGTTTTTATCTCATAACCCAGAAAAAATTCTTTTTTGAGAAATAATGAGTTAAGTTTATAAGTCACATTTTTATCACTTTTTGGGGGGCGTTTGAGTGATTTTTATGACATGAAAGTTTATCACATTATGTTTTAAAGGTAAATGTTTTTCAGTAAATAAAATTGATGCTATCTTGTAGCAAATTTTAAGGGCTTTCAAATGAGCCGAAAATAAAATTTTTATTTCACGTGTAAGAGGTCGAAAATATTTTTTAAAGACGTCTACCCCGGTTTTCCGTTGATTTTCGGGTTTCAAGATCTCAATGAAGGAATTATATAGGAACTTAGTTTCTTTTGTGTTTAGTATAGATATTAATAGATATGTATACTGGAATTTTTTTAGATTTTTCGGACAACCCCTAAGGTCAAAAATACAAGTGGCGCTATCTTTTTGTTACACTCTAAAATCAAATTTATTGTTATAAAATTTTTTTTAAATCTGCATTAAACTTTTTATTTCCATTATTGATACATAATATCCTTATCTATATTCTACCAAAATTTGAAACAGATCCATTTAATATTTGGTAGGATATCGATAAAAACTAGGTGGCGCTATCATTTTGTTACAGAGTGTATTAATTTAATTATTAGTTTACTTTTATTCACGTTTTTATAGACAACCGTTCCTTAATTTTCTATTATGTTCTTTTTTATATTTTGACTTTAAATTTAGAAATCAACCAAAAAATTGCTAAATGTTTTATACATACTAAAATAATCTTTAAAAATCTCAATGTTTGTCAAGAAAGGAGTAAAGAAAAATAAATAATATTTACATAAAGAATAATATGTACATAACTAATAAAGTATTCTAATGACCGGCTCTTCTAGTTTCTTGTTTATTTTAAAAAATTTCAGAAAAATTTCAGAAATCTGTGATCTATAATAATTTGAAGGATCCCAAATAATATTTTTGATTAAATATCAATTTAATATAAACAAGAGAATTAGTGAGCATCTGGTCATACTACAGCTAAATTCATAAAAAGTGGACAGAAGAAATATGAGAGCAATATGCTCTAGTTTGTACTTTCTTTTAGAGTTTTTTACTAGCTCTTGAAATGAACTCATTTTTAATGACTTTTAGTTGGACTTTCAGCTCGCTTTTTGCTTGGGCTTAAACTTGTTCGTGGACTATTTTTTTCTTTTTTATGTTCATGATGAGTTCCGCTCTCTGTTTGACTACCGCTCCCATGTTCATGAAGGCGTTTTTCTATTATTTTTAAATAATTTTATTTAATAAATAAACTTACTACCAGTAATCGAAGTGTGTACTTTTCCCCTTTTGACTACATATGTTCCCTGATTCGACTTTTGTTTTTCGAGAAATTCCAAATAAGGCATTTCACCGTATAGCTTAACGAGGAATAAACGAGCAACACCTTCCATGTTCATAGTTTTTTTATCATTCAAATTTAAGCAAATTTCAACTGGAACCTTCTTTGTTGATTCTGCTTTACTGGAACTGGATTCTCCCGTTTCTTTGTCGGCGATTTCTTCAGTTTTTTCTAATTTGTCTTCTACATATTCAGTCCGGCATGCCTAAAATAGTACTTTATTTAAGGAAAAGTCCAAATTGAAGATCGGTCACTTTAATTAAGTTTAGTAATTGTTGCAATAAAATTGCCTTATGTATATTTAAGATACAAAATCAAATGTTGTTAAAAATTAAATATAGCAACCTTGAAGGTTTTAAGAACAAAAGCAATCTTTTCCTCTATACTGAACATGTTTCTTATTTTCTTATCAAGAAGATTTTTAACTTTAAACTCTCTTTCTTTTTTTAATTTAAAGTCTTCGGCATCTCCAAATGTAATATGCTCGACTGGCAAATCTACTTGCATTTCATCCATACTTTCCGTCTTTTCTACTTTTGACTCCTCTTTAATTACTTTTTCCTTTAGGGACTTTACTTCAGATGAATCTTCATTAACTTTGATCGTCATCCACATTGCTTTTATTGCATCACTTCCATGATCTGCTTCAAATTCATTTAAATTTTTGTGGTCAATTCCAAAAGCGTAGGTTACAGATTCTGTCCATGCATTGTCTGTGTTTGTCTGTAAAATATTTAATTATCGCAACAAACATTTTAAAATTCTATCACCTCTTTCGCATCATTATAGCCAAATATCACCAATTCTCCATCACCCATGAGAGTTTTGAGTTTATTTTCGAATTCAGCTTTTTCTTCTTTTCCTACCTTTTTATTTGCTAGACCTTCTTCGATTAATTCTCTCTTTGCTGCATCTTCAAATTCTTCATCTGGATCAACATACCCTCCTGGAGTAGTGATTCTTCTATCTATAAGAATAGTTTTTTAATCCATACCACGACTGGCTTGAGTTTAATTTTTTAAACCCTTACTTTTTGATGAAAAATATATAGTATACCTTCAGGTCTCTCATACTTCCCATTCATAACGCCGAGAAATGAAAATTCATCATTTATGCTTTTTGAGTATAAAATTGCTCCAACTCCTTTACTTGGTCCCCATTGGTACAATTCTCCACGTGTAATAAAACCAGTACGTGTAATTGGGTTGATTGGATAGCCATTTTCATCCAACTCGTACTTTCTAATAATTATTTATAAATTTATTAATATTTAATTTTGTGTCGTGATTGCTATGATTATACAAGAATGGAAAATATAAATTATCGGGGGTGAAACGGTATTTCTCAGGTCTGTTTCTTTTCAAGATAATCCAATTCCATCTCAAACCTATTCGTAAGACGGCAGGGATGGGACGGGTTACCCGAAACCCGGACTTTTTTCAGCCCGAAACCCGATTCAAAGAAAATTTTGAAAACCCGACCCGACTTTTTTCTCAATCCTCCCATCCCTGTAAGACGGATCAAGAAGTGAACTATGGTGGGTTCTGAGTTAGTATCCTGGTTTCTAGTTACAGTTGATTCTATTACAATAAGAATTTTCATACCCATAAAATGAGCAACGATCAAGTATTCGCTTCTCATTTTTGTCATAATCATGATGAATAATCAAATCCTTTTCACTATCAGTGTGCCACAATCCACTATATTTTTTAACATCCTCGTCATCAGGTTTAATCCAACTACTTGCTGGCAAATGCCCCCTTTTCAAATGCAGACCTACAACCACATTTGGTTTGTATGGTCTATAGAATCCAGCTAAAAATTAACTTATTATTAGAAATTACAGATGGATAGTTTAGTTTGTTGATTAATTGCAAACCTTCACACTAATTAATCTCATAAATACATAGATTATTTCAAGACGTTAGAATTTTAAATTTAATAAAATAATTTGTCTTCTAATATTCAAAAATAGAATAAATAAAACATACAAACATCAATTTTACAAATTCCATCTTCGTTAATTATAATACAACCACGTGGAACATCTTGACCAGGATCCATATCCAACTTTAAAGCCACTTTTTCCTTCAATTCCTTTAAAATTTTATCAACATCTTCATCTTTCGAAATTTGATATCCTTCCTCTTTTAACATTTCTAAAACTTCCTCTCGTTTTGACACTTTATCTATATTTTTTAATAAATTTTTAGCTTTATTTTTTTCATCCTTTAGATCATTAGATTTTTTCTTCAAGTCTTTTAAGTGTGGCTTTTCAGCATGTATTTTTTCAATATGGTTATCAGGACCCAATTTTTTGTAATCCTCATAGGCCTCCTCACTCATAATTTCTTTTAACAATCCACTCTGAATTTCCAAGACTCTATTAAATTCCTCATCAGTAACGGTAGCTCTTGGATAGATTGCCGCTTAAATTATTAATGTAAAAACGATTATTATACATAAAAACGAATAAAAGCGAATTTTTAATCTACCGTATTGTCTCTAATACAAGCCCTGGGCGTCTATTTTTTAATACCCCTCATTGAGTGGGCTTCTAATAGGGTATGGGCTTCTATTGGATATGGGTTTCTATTAGAGACAATACGGTATTTACGAAAGAATGTTATTTATAAAATAAATATGTATAAAAGATTCGTTAAAAAACCCTACATTTGTAGATTCCAGTATATTGACGAGGCAGCGGTAACTGGAATTTCGGATCGTAAAGCTTTCTCTTGCACCCACCATCATTTGGTTCCAAATATACGTTTAAATTTCCTGGCAAACCCCGAGATGATCGCTCAGGTGCCTCAACTTTATCCTTTGCTTCTCCCAATGCAATAATCAAGGTAAATGCGCCCAAAACGAGTAGGCGCATTTTCTAGGTTTTTGTTTTTTAGTCTAAAATTGAAATTATTTCTTTTATATTATTAAATTCATAAAAAATATTTATTATAATTAAAATTTTAATAAATAAATCAATCTTTCAATATATTCTTCTTGCTAATATGGGCTAAGTTACTTTTTTAGTAGAGATATAATAGTTTCAGAGATATAATAGTTTCAGGATAATATGATAGCTAGAACTATCAGAAATTTTTGGAAGAAAATTTCAAAATATATTCCAATATGAGGTTATGAAATTTAGATAGTAGTGTAGCTGGTATTGATCTACAAGTGAAATCCAGAATTATGACTGCTTTTAAAAGCTTTAAAGAAAAGGATAAAGGTAAATTACTTATTATGTTTCGACTGGACAGTCTCATTTCGTAAGGAAGTCTTACGACGGAAAGAGGAGTAATTAGAAGTCTAAAAGAAATATAAAAATATTTAATTTCCACTTAATCATACATTTAAATCTTTTAGACTTTGCCCCTTTATTATTTAATATTTTATATTATTCATTTCCGTTTCCTTAAGATTTCCATTAAAACTTAGGCTTTATTTTTCTTTACATTAATAAACTCTAGCAGCGACCTTCGATCGCTCAAAGCCTATAAATAATTGTAATCATCTCCCCTTAATCGTTTTCATTGGTTCACTCTCACGGTTCACTCTCACGGTTCATTCTTAGCTTCTTTCCTATTATTCATTAAAAATAAATAAGCTTCTCTCAACATTGTTAATTCTTTTAAAATAAAAATAAATTTCTCTTTAAATTGTTTTACCTTTATTAAATAAATATTGGAAAATAATTGAATTGGATTTAAAATACTTTTAAAAATAATAAAAGTTAACTCGAAGAAGAAAGAATTGGTTCTTCGAGCAATTAAATCTAAAAATTGAATAAATTCTCAAAGGAAGAGAATTTAGTCGAAAGAAGTAAAAATTTGTTCTTTCGACAAGTGGCGACCCAGCAAAAAACAAAACTACAAAAAATTTTTATATTAAATTTCTGCAAAATTAGAAATTTAATAATTGACTACAAAATAATTGTCATCAAAAAATTAATTCAGCAAATACAAAAATTTAATTTGCTACAAAATAAAAATTAATTATTGGCTCATCAAAAAAATTGTGGTCAAAGCTCAAATTAGTGGTTGAAGAATAAATTGTAGGTTTTAAATAATTTAAATCAAATTAAAAATTTTTGAAAAACAAAAATTTTAACAAAAATTGAAAAAATGAGCCGCATGTTAAAATCACTTACAAAAAGAGCGGCAGAAAAGGTGCAAAATCTTTTAAAAATTAGTGCTCCAAAAGAGCCTGATAGCCAAGAGGAAGATTATATTTTTGGTCTTTGCGAAACATTAGACCAATTATGTATAGAAATTGAAGAATTAACCGAGGCACACTCGGATTTGAAAGAAATTAATTCTAAATGGATGTCTTTAGTCCAAAGGTGCTCCCAATCAGAAAAAGCTGCAAATGAGACAGCTTATGAAGAAACGGCCTCTTTCTACAAAATAGAAGAGTGCTTGAATGAAGCAGAAACACGTCTTAGAGAACTAAAAGAGTTGGAAAGACGTCTTAAATCGGAAAAGAGAAAAGAAGAACGTAGGGAAGCAACATCTACGACTAATATATCCAGAGGCCAACAACTATGTGGTTTTAGTTTTAAACCTCCTAGGCAAGAAATTGGAAAATTTTCTGGTAAACAAATCGATTGGCCAGAATGGTGGCAAATCTTTGAGGCCACTGTACATGAAACAGAAGGAAGTGAGGAAGTAAAACACGCTGTACTAAAACAGTGTGTGGAAGGAGAGGCAAAATCTCTTATCGTTGGTTTGAAATTAAGCGATTATCACGTTGCTATAGACCTTTTAAAACAGAGGTATGGCAATGAAGAAGAATATACAAGGAATTTATATACACAACTGGAAAGTATAAAATCATGCCAAACCTTCCAAGATTGTCGAAAATTTTCACTAGAGATCGAAAAAATATGTCGACTATTGGAAAATAATGGTCATAATATTTCAGGCCAAGGATTTTGGATGAGCTTAGAAAAAAAGCTCACAATACCAATTTTGCGGGAAATTCAGTCAAAGAAAGCGATTGTAAAAAACAATGGAGCTTTATGGGACACAGCTGCCTTCAGAAAAGCTTTACGGGAAGTGATTGAGAAAGAGGAACTTGTCCTCTCCATTCACGGAAAATTACCTGAGAAAGCTGAAGAACAGCAAAATAACCAAAAAAGCTTCGAAAACTTCCCAGATAGAGGAAGTGACAGCGAAAATGAAGTAACAACAACATTCGCAATTACTGAAGTAAAAAATAAAAAATTCAACACCCGCAAAAAATTAAATAAAAACAACAGCATCCAAAATCAAAACAACCTTGAAGGCGGGAGGCGTTCCCCAATATACCCATGTATATTTTGTGGTAAAAAAGGCCACTGGGGAAACGAGTGCAGAAAAATCCGCACCGCTTCAGAACGTCACAAAAAATTGATAGAATTAAGCAGATGCAAATTTTGCTTTAAGCCAAAACACAATGGGAATTGCAAAAAACCCATTAGATGCTTCTATTGCCAAGAAAGGCACAACACTGCTCTTTGTGGAAAAACATACAAAGACAGAAAAATAAAAGTTGAAGAAAATGTTTTGCAAAATTCTGCTCTCTTACAAAGGCCGCGTCAAAATCGAATTCTACTTTGTCGCGAAGCTATTATATTTAATCCTTCGAGTCCAGAAAAAAGGACTACAGCTAGGATATTCATCGATTGTGGATCTCAAAGATCGTACATTCGAAAAGGAATTGCTCAAAAACTGGGCTTACGTACTTCTCAAAAAGAAGTACAAAGAATTCAACCTTTCCCAACAAAACGAACTCCGGTAATTGAAGCTCAAGCCGAAATATTCAAATTGGGAATCGAAAAAAGCAAAATAGGGCAAATATTTGTAGAAGTGGGACAGCTGAACCATCTACACAGCTTAATCACTCAAATGCCCGTAGTCTTGGCTCCAAAAGATGAAGAGGAAGTGGATCTAAATTCAAAGAAAATGCCACATTCCGTAGTCGAGCCTGACGTTTTACTAGGAATCGAATACTTCTTTGAACTAAATATAGTACGCAAGAAAAAATTGAATTGCGGACTATGGCTCGCGGATAGCGCGCTTGGACCTATCATAGGTGGAAAAGGACATATAACAAATGAAAAAACCTTTCCCTCGATTGATCACTCTAATGTCGTAATTACTGAAGATGATTACGGAAATAAAACATTAGAAGAAAAAATATGTTCCTTTAAAAGTATAGGAACAAGAGACGAACCCAATCAAAAATTGGATGAAAAAATCCGAAATAAAGTTAAAACAAAATTAACGTTCCAAAATGAACGTTATGAAACCGATTGGTTGCGGAAAGACTCCGGTCCAAAATGGCCGAGCAGTCACCGAAGGTCAACAAATAAAAGATCTATCCGAAGTGCCGCAAAATATCTATATCCCTTTAAAGAAAAAATAATTCCGGAAAAATCGGAAGAAAAAGAGAAAGAAAATAAAAACAGCTCTCAAAAAAGGGACAAAAAGAAAATCAGACTAATCGAAATATGTTCGAAGCCTGAACAAGTGAAAATAAAGAAAAATAAAAATAGGAAAAAGCTTAATAAAGAAAATTGTCAATACAACTTAGCAATTTCGAAAACCAAAGCAGAGCCACGAAAAAAGAAGATCCTAGAAGAAAAAGGAAATTTGAGAGATTCAATAAATGGGAGTAATAAGAAGTATGAAAATCCGACAAAATCGGAAAAATGGAAAACCAATCCCGATGACCGTCTTCGATCTAACGTGCAAAAAACACGCACAAAAGATACACAAAAGCATAAAATTAAAACGGTTAGAAAACAACCAGGCTTATATACGGCCAAACTAAACAAATTCCAGCAACAAAATTGCTTGGAAACAAAAATTGAAGAGGAACTAAATACTTCTCGGATCAATCAATTCTTGCAGCAAAAACGCGGGGAATCTAAAAAATTGATACTCCCAACAACAAAACCCAAACAGTTTGATCCGACGACAAAAATTGTCCGAAAAATAAATTTTAAATCGAATCAATTGGAGGCTGACAAACTACCAGACGAAATTCAACACCGGATGGAACAACAAAATCTTGCTGTTGCGGGAGTGTTTCGACTGGACAGTCTCATTTCGTAAGGAAGTCTTACGACGGAAAGAGGAGTAATTAGAAGTCTAAAAGAAATATAAAAATATTTAATTTCCACTTAATCATAAATTAAATCTTTTAGACTTTGCCCCTTTATTATTTAATATTTTATATTATTCATTTCCGTTTCCTTAAGATTTCCATTAAAACTTAGGCTTTATTTTTCTTTACATTAATAAACTCTAGCAGCGACCTTCGATCGCTCAAAGCCTATAAATAATTGTAATAATCTCCCCTTAATCGTTTTCATTGGTTCACTCTCACGGTTCACTCTCACGGTTCATTCTTAGCTTCTTTCCTATTATTCATTAAAAATAAATAAGCTTCTCTCAACATTGTTAATTCTTTTAAAATAAAAATAAATTTCTCTTTAAATTGTTTTACCTTTATTAAATAAATATTGGAAAATAATTGAATTGGATTTAAAATACTTTTAAAAATAATAAAAGTTAACTCGAAGAAGAAAGAATTGGTTCTTCGAGCAATTAAATCTAAAAATTGAATAAATTCTCAAAGGAAGAGAATTTAGTCGAAAGAAGTAAAAATTTGTTCTTTCGACAATTAATTAAAAAACTAAAAATGAATCAAATGTCAAATAAATTGGCTTTAAATAAACATCCAAACTCAAATACTTTAAAAAATATCTTTGCCCTTTACATGAGGGCTATCATGTGCTACAAGGCAGTCACTAAGTTTTTCGAATATATTAAGCCAGATTGCTATTTAAATAAATAAATTATAATCCAAAAGTAGAAATCGTAAACCGATAATACATAAAACAAGCTAAAATGGCCAATTTTCCTTAGCTTAAGAAAATGAGGTATTACTATTTTAAATGAAATAGTGCACTTTAAGAATATTTATTTAATAATATATTCATTAAGAAATACATTAAATTCTCTATTTATATCTTTCTTCAAATTTCAAAAGAATTTTAAAAATTGATGAAATTTTTGGAGTCTCTGATTTTTCAGAAATCTTTATAAGAATACGGTAAAGCCCGATTCAGAATCGCAGATTCAGCATAGCTTATCAGTCTACGACAAAAAGGGGACGCTTCAGACTAAGTAAATGCGCATTTTTTTAAAAATTCGATTCAGAATGCGCATTTTTTAAAAGTTTTTTTTGTCTAAAATTGAATTTATTATTTCTTTCATTAAATGAATTGAAAATATTTATTTATTATAATTAAAATTTTAATAAATCAATCTTTCAGCATATTCTTCATAAAAATATGGGTTAAGTTATTTTTTAGTAGATAACACGGAAGATAATTAAACAAAAGAGAGTTGATTGTGGGTGATATGGTTCAGGGTGATATGATAGTTAAAACTATCAGAAATTTTGGGGAGAAAATTTTAAAATATATTTCGATATGGAGGTTATGAAATTTAGAAATTTAAAACATTTTTACCGTTCGCTCACCCAACGGTTTTATGTTTGAAAATAAAAAGAATTTTTGAAGGAACTGCGAAAGTAAAGAGAGCCCGCTGACTACGCATATATGACTCTAGCCTATAGAATATAATGATAGAAAATAATAATTTGCCTAGCTAAAAAGGCTAATTATTATTTAATATTTTTATAAATTATTACATATTATAGACTAAATAAATAAATTTAAAAGGATTTTAAGAATGATTAAATCGAGAGAAATTCTCAGTATTTATTTACCGCTTTTACGCAGCGCAACATTTAATGACTCCGCCCATAAGTAAGATAAAAAGAAGGATTGATTAAAAAAAGAGAAGGGTTAATTGTTAAAGAGAAGGATTAAAGAGAAGGATTAATTGTTTAGTTTGTCAAGATTCAGTCAGTCCCATAATCTCCCCTTTCCCCACTAGACGCTTCCATGTTTCTTTAAGAAAATTTAAAAATGAATTCTATTAGAAATGTGAAGAAAATATAAAATAAAAAAATTATTTAAGACAAGATGAAAGTAGGAACTTTATTTAATATGAAATATAACTTCTAATTTTATTTAAAAAACTTATTTATGTTGGTTTTTAAGTTTATTTTCAATATTTTAAACAAGAGCTTGTCGAATACACTATAGAATCGCCTGTTGATTTTTCTCTAATTAAGAAATAGAATATTTTGTAGTTTGTATATTTATTATAGTTTAATAATTTTAAATGCTTGCACTTTGTCACCCGCTCTTTTTCTTAATTAAAAAATTAAAACATAAAAAAGCTTGACAAAATTCTTTAATGCCCTTTGCTTGTCAGCAGTGCTGACAAGCAAAGGGCATTATAAAATTTTGTCGCGCTTTTATGTATTTTCAAAGAAAGGGAGCGGGTGACAAAGTGCAAGCGTTTAAAATTATTAAACTATAATAAATATACAAACTACAAAATATTCAATTTCTTAATTAGAGAAAAATCAACAGGCGATTCTAAAGTGTATTCGACAAGCTCTTGTTTAAAATATTGAAAATAGGCATGAAAATCTAACAAAAATAAGTTTTTTTAAATAAAATTAGAAATTACATTTCATAATAAATAAATTTTTTACTTTCATCTTGTTTTAAGTTAAATAATTTTTTTATTTTATATTTTCTTCATAATTCTAATAGTAGAATTATTTTATAAATTTTCTTGAAGATAGAAGCTTCTAGTGTGGTGAGGGTAGATTATGTGACAGGAATTTATTTAAATCTTTGTTTAAATTAAGCCTTTGTTGGGACCTTTGTTTAAAAAATTAAAAATTACAACATAAAAAGCAAATCCACATGTCAATATTTTATAATGCCCTTCACCTCTCAGGCAATAATTTAAAAAATCAAAAATATGTAAGTAAATAAGTTTTAAGAAAAAAATATTTAATAAAATTTTTATTAATAAAAGGTTTTTTTTAATTTTTAGAAACAATTAAAAATTAATAAATAGACGAATTTTCTGTAAATTTTCTAAAGGATCTATCAAATTTATATACTAAAATAAATTAGGAAAATCTAATTAATTTAATTAATAAGAATGTTCTTTTATGTAAAAAACTGCAAGAATTAAATACGTCAACATGAAAATTTGATCTTGGCTTTATTTCAAACTAAAGATGGGCCCAGTTTGCCATCAAAGGTTCACCAACAAAACTGGTTGAGGTGAATATTGAGTTGAAATTGTGAAGGTGAACTACCACAAGTATTCAATTTTGAAGTAAATGTTTTTGATTTTGCGCGGTTAGATGGGTGATTAAATTATCAATGGATTCCTTGTCTGAGTCAAGGTTTATTTTTCTAGAAAATATATCTTTCGATATAATCTTTTCACATACAAAAAGAAAAAGCTCAGTTATAAAACAAATTACAACAAAATATGGACAGAAATAAAAAATACTGTGATTTGGACAGAATTCTTCTCCTTTAATTTTTGATTTAAATTAGATTTATGTGAAATCTTTAAAAGTTTTTAAATAGAAAAAAATAGAAAAGAAAATATCCAACCTCTTTTTTACGCTTAAAGGTTAAACGTTAAAAAATTTTTAAATACTTAACGCCACAGTAATTTTAGATTCGGTAGGTCCAGGATGTTACAGTTAAAAAATATTTTTCAGCTCATTTTTTGCTTCTTGTTGAACTCGCAAAATGTTGAACTGTTGAATGTTGAACTCGCAACTCAACAAACCTTATTCGGGAAATGACAATTTTTTGTTTGAAAATTTGTTAAAATAATTATTCAACTTTTCATGGAAGCTTTATAAATTCATCTGACTCGTTACATTGTTATAATTTTTGAACCTCTGATACTTCCAGAAATATTTCAAATTGATAAAATAAGTAAAGATGAGAGAGGTAGAGTTTAACCCTTGGTACCTTATTACTAGACGCCTAAGCACGTACCAGAAGTTGTACGGAATTTCGATATACTAGTTCCGACGTCTTTTCCCTGCCGATTTCACATTTACAAATATAATAGTAAGTTTTTCCAATTTTTGATAATTTTGAAGCAAAAACAAGTAGTTCCGATTTCCGGCACCTTCGTCAATTCCGACAAACCTCTGCCATCTAGAAATGCTCTACCTATTAAGCTAGCGATATCGGATTTAAAATTTTTCTATTAATAAATGATTTAAATGATTTTTCTATTAATATGTATATAAATTTTTAAAATATAAATACTTAAAATTAAATTTCTTGTTTAAAATTTTATTTTTAATTATATTTAATAAAAATGTTTATTTAATTTTGTTAAATAATTTTATTACACTATAAAGTCATAAGAATAAAAATTTTATCAAAACAGATTTAAATTTAATTTAAAATAGAAAATATTAAGTATAAAATTATTTTTATTTTCAAATAAAAATGTGACAACTGTACTTTTTAATTTTGTTATTTTTTTTATATTAAAGATTAGATTAATAAAATAACTTATTGTTAGAGGAAAATCTCGTGTCAGTCCAAAACGTTCCAATGGTTTTTTAAATTAAAAAACTGACTGAATTATTAATTATTGACGCAATGATTAAAATAATTTTTAAAATTTATTATTAAAACATGTCAGTTGCTGGATTTGTGCGATGCCCTTAAAGGTGAAACAATAAAAAATTATATTAAATAATTTAACTTCATAAAATTATTTAAATTATATTAAATAATTTTACTTCATTAACTTCATACTGGTTTTTCGAGTGTTTGTTTACTATTTACATATATTTTTTTTTCATGTTTTTTTGTTGTTGCTTCACATATTTTATGCTTTGTATTTTTTATGCACCACTTTAATGTATTTTAAAATACCTGTGGTTTGCTGATAAATAAATAAATAAATAAAACCAGCGTTTATAATTATTTTTATTAAATGCTAAAAATTTGGAAAAATTATTAAAAGCCGTTCATTTATCCTAATTTTGTTAATACAAATTTTGACATTGACTTAGAACTATTAAAGTCTCGATCCCGAGTCGATTTCTGTCTTATACTAATTATTTTATGTTTATTGCCGTTTTCTTAAAAAATGTGGAGTTCTGAAGCAAGCCTAATTAAATAGCATTCCATTATCTAGCTTTTATTATTATAAGAATTAACAGTTTTTGATTAAAATTTTTTCTAGTTTCTTCCATTCAATTTCCCTTTTTAATTTTAATTTTTTATTCTTTTATTTAATAACAATTTTATATCCTTTGTTACTTACATTTTATTAAATATAAAAAAATCTTTCACAGAAACAGCATAAAACAAAGGCAAAAATTCTATAAAATTATACAAATGCATTATTTATAGTTTTAATTTCTGCGAAAAAATTTTTTTTGGAATCTATCATTAAATAAAATTAATCTTAAATTTGTTTAAAAAGAAATTTTACCAAAATTTTATGAGCCAATTTTATTTAACTAAATTTAAATTTAAAAATTTCTCGATACTCGCTATTGAATATAATACATACTAATAAATAAATAAAAACAATGCATAATGTAACACCATTTGAAATAAATTATTTGGGACTTGATTCTGAAGAGTTTGCCAAATTAGAACTTTTTACTTCAGAACAACGTATAATTGCTTGGCTACTTATTTTAATAGAATATTTTGTTCAATTTATTAATATTTTTTTTGGAATAATTTGTATAAGACTTCTATATTGTACTAGTGTAGGTTTAAATAATTATGTTTTGAAATTTTATTAGTATTGTCCAATCTGGGGTTTTATGACAAGCTTTAAAGCAGAGAACTTAAAGTTACATATAACATTTTAGAAATCGAAGGTTATAGAAAATGAATTTTTAAAACACCATCAAAACAAAACCGGTAATCAACAAAAATTCATACCCAAAAGTCAAATCTTAAAAAAAGCTGCATTAGTTAACAGAAAACCCGTGGTATAATTTAATAACCAATCGCCATTTAGCTTATGATCACAGAGGTCCTCAATAAAGTCGTAGGGGATTCTTGATTTGGAAAATTAAATTTAATGATAGCTTGTTTATTTAATTTAAGAATATTTCTGAATACATACATATAATGTTCAAATAAACTTTTAAAAAATTTATTTAAACCGGAGATTTTATATTTGTGTCAGATAGAATGTAAAATATGAGATTAAATGAATTCACTGATTAATATAATAGATCCTAAATAAAGTTATCACTGTAGAAATGATTTTTAAGTTTAATAAAATCCAAATATTAAAAATCTTCAACTAAATTTCAAATTCTAATTAAATATATTTAAGCTACTTCATTGTAACCTCAAATTTATTTTAATATCTCAAAGCGGATTAATAATATTTGAAGCATTAATCAGGCTATTCTTCGTTGGTCCAATAAAATATTTTACGGGGGACATTTTTTGGTTTCAGACTGAATTTAGGTATTTTTAAAAATTATTATATTTGGATTTATTAAAATTTATTTAAAGATTTATCCCAATAAAATTTCTTGTACAACTTCCCATATTTTCTCGCATGATATTTTGTCATCTAATTATTATTGAACGAATTTGTGCCACCGTTTTTATAAAATGTTATGAAACTAAGAAGGGAAGAATATTTACAAGCTCATGGATTTTTATTTTTGTAGGGTTTTTTAATTTTTCCGGATATTTTATGTTAAATATTGAGGTTACTTTTTATTAGTGGAGATAACAGAAACAATTTTCAGTGTTTATAATTAGTCACCAACAGGCAATGATCCCGAACCACTTTCATGCCTTATTTATACAGGGATATAGCAGATATAAAATTAAATTCAGATTTTTGAATTGAGGATTCCTGGCCCAAAAAACGTCGAGAATTCCCATTTTCGTGAATATCCCTTGTTCATTTTTTTTAAATTTTTATATAATTTCACAAAACTTTCAGTTAATTCTGTCAACATTAAACTTTATTCATAATGAAGAAGATGAAGCAAATGATAATTTATCTTCTCAAAATGTGACATTATCTAGTGCAATAATTGCTATATTTCTGGCTTTAATAGGATTATTTGAAATTATTGTACGAAATAAATTAATATCAAATAAATACTTAATAAAATTTTTAGTTGATTGGAGTAATATGGAGGTACAACAAGAATAAATTAAATGAATTTTCAAATACAAGTCAATTATCTATAATTGGAGGTAAACCTGTTGTTGTAATAAATGTTCATAGGAGAACATCTGAATATAAACTGAAAAAGCGTTATCAGGTAAATTATAAAGTTTGTTAGGGATTTAAGTTGAAAATGACAACCCTGTGGCATTATGGGGATTTAAAGCCTTAAGGCTGCGTTTACAATGGTACACGTGCAAATGTTCTGTAGAAATTATTCTAGTATTTTACATTTAATTTTTAAAGTATTTGGAAAACATGCGCAGCGCATTTCAATTGGCGCCAACAATTCTTGCTTATTTCGTTGCGGGTGTTTTGACAGCATTTTCGCAAACATTCTATTCACTTATCTTTGAAGCAGATGACTTTACATGTGAAATAATTGTTAGTTTATTATTAAATAATGAATGACACACGTAATACCATATAGGTAGGTTAGGTATATCAGGATTATATATTCACAAGATAAGACCCCGGAATTAAGGAGCAAAACAGATATTTGAATAAACGTTATAGATTTCCTATTATACTGTTTATGCATGAGTGATTGTTTTGGGTCTTTCCAGAGACCAAGACCAATCTTTCTGTCCTAGTCCTTCCGTTTCCGTTTTCTTTCCAGTTTCCATTTTCCAAAAATATACTATTATTCTTTCAGCAAACAATAGAATAATAGTATATTTAAAGATGAAGGTTCGTATATCTGTAAAGATGAATTTGAAGTTGGATCAGGAACAGGGAAGTTGGATCAGGAACCTACCGTTTTGATTTGATGGGTGTTAAACAAAATGCTAAAAAATACATATACATATAGTTATTACAGCATAGATAATAATACATATATAGATAATTTATAAATATGCAGATATGAGTTATTTCTGAATAGTTATGAAAAAATATATCAGAAATAAATATTGAAAGCACAAAAATAATAATTTAAATAATTTTAGTCACAATTGAACAATTTGTTTATTGCAATCATTAACTTTTTAATAATTTCTACAACAATTTTGTAAGCTAAAAATATTTTTTATTCCATTATTAAATCAAATCTTTTTAGTTTCCATAAAATTCTAAAAAAGAATTTCTTCAAAATTTTTAACCAAATATTTTGCTGTGCTCCAAAAATTAAGAAATCTCTGGAGAAGAGTACAATAAATAAAATTACTCCAACTGTGGCACAACAACAAACTGAGAAATATTTTGCAATGTTGAAAGGGACCTGGGATTAATACTTATAAAATTTATAAAAAAATAATTTTTGATTTAAATAATCATGTAAATTTAATATAATTTTACAAATTTTGTATGCAACTAGAGTAGCGCGAGATCGTGGTTTTTCGAACAAACCGAGACCGAAGATCACAGATATAAAAAAGCCGAGGTCGAGATCGAGGGTCAAATTTGAAATGAGGTCCAGGACGAAGTGTGTGGATAACCGAGGTTTTTAAAAATTTCTAATCTTTTAAAATTAAATTTGCTAAATTTATCAAATATCAATGGAGCAAAAAATGAATTTTTTGGCCTACAGCCTTACAAAATTTTTAAAATTTTTTAATGCGGCGCTAAAAATGAAATTTTACACGAAAACTGTTTTTACACTTATTATTTATTAATCTTTCAAAAATTTTTCAACATTAAATTTGTTACAGTCCTTATCATTCCAAAATTTATTTAAATCAATTATATTCTTTGATTTTTCTTCAAATTGTTTAGTAGCATATTCACATATTTTACATATTGGAGAATAATCATAACCAAATCTTCTTTTTGTATATGTTTTTGTCCATTCAAAATGTCTGTATTTTAAATTATCTATACAAAGCTGAATAAATTAATGTCCCCAAACTAGTTATATTTCTATATTTTTGTGAGAGGAATCGGAGACAAATACACTATTAGGAAAACTTTATGAAGCTCCTATACATCAAGACTTTTCCGAGCCGTTTGCTAAAAAGATCGAGGCTCATCTTTATCTTGATAATCGTTAGGCATTTCACTACTCGAACCCCCGTACATTTTTCAGTACTATAAACCGATAGTTTTGACTAGATTGAGTTTTATCTGCTAACCGTGCTCAGATTTTTTAATTTACTTTAAATATTTTTCCGTATCATTTTGCAAAGCCTTTAGATGCGCAACAAATTCATTCACTGATTTAAAATCATCCAAGGCAATAAATGCATTAGAAGGAACATCCATTCCTTCAAAAACAGATCTACTAAAAACTACAGGTACTGTAAGTGATCTTAACGAATTCCAAAATTTTTCTGTTACATAATTGTGACAAATATTATTCTCCAATGCCAAATAAAACATGTGGTTTTCTAAAAATTATTTATTAAACATAAGTTTACGAAACTAAATGTTCAAATTCTATCTTTAATTTGGGGCCCTATATTTACGAATACATTCTAGAATCACTCGGTAAAAATGAATTCGGCCTGAAAATTCGGCAGCTAATGCCTTGTTGCCTTTTTTAATCAAATTCAGGTTTACCTAAACTACGGTTATAGCATGCATCATCGCACCCTCTTTTACCATAGCAAACACCAACAACCTCCAAATCCATTAATTTTTGTAGTTTTTTTGAAATAAGATATCGACCAGATTCAGAATTACAATGTGAAATTGCTTGGAAAGCTAATTTTGTTTTGTTCTTAACTATTGCCAGAACCTTTAATTCAAAATAAACTACATTCGGGTCAATAATCAAACTTTTTCTGTTTTATTTAAATTTTGACTGTTTAAACGGATAGTAGAGACTAGAGCCCGGACCGATACGATATTTTTTCGATATTTTTCGGTATTTTTCGATATATATTTTTCGATATTATCGAAAAAATATCGACCGAGAAAATTTTGACTTTTTCGATATTTTTCGGTATTCGATATTTTTCGATATTTATCGAAAAAATACCGACCGAAAAAATTTAAATATCGAAACAATCGACCGACCAAATTACAAAAAATCGAAAAAAATATCGAACGTCATTTTTGACTAAAATTTGAATTTTTGGCGCAAAAAGGATGCATTTTTGCTTCCTACCCATCTCTACTAGAGACCTAGGCATTGCCCATTAATTACTCAAGCTTTTATTGTGGTTTTTTCAATATTTGTCCACACCATCAAAAAAGCTCTTTACCTCTTTTTGATCCCAAATATATTCTTTTGGAGTAGTTGGAGTAATTCTAGTTAATGCATCATATGGCATGAATACAGAACTATCTAAACGATAAGTCGCTGTACTATTGAAAAATTTGTTTGTTAAAAATTTTCTGTCATAATATTTCAAGGTTGTTTGTATAGGAGATTCAACTGTAAACATCATATAATTTTGATTTTCTCCTCGATTTTGAGGCCATGAATTTATAGCACAGAATGTATGAAGCAAGAAGATTGTTGTTGATGCGTTTGTCTCGCTTAATAAAATCAAATTTATTCGTAATGAGTAGAGATGTCCAAGACTCTTGGTCTTAAGTCTTGACTCAATTTCGATCATGGAAGAGCTCTTGGTAGGGTTTTTTCTATAAAATTTATAATACAAAATTGTATTTATTTCATTCAAACTAAAGTAACTTTTACCTCCGCTGGATTTACTTATAAGGTTTCATACCGCTTCAAAGTAATGACACAATTACCTCCCAGTCTTGCAGATAAAGCAAAAATTAAAAGTATCAGACAGTGGTTGGAAGGTTTTTTTAAAAAGATCTAATCTATCCTATCTTTGCTATTTTCTGTGATGGGCTCGGTCGTATTTTTTATTTAAATCCAAACATACAATTTTCTATCGGTAGTAAAAGTACACTTGAACGGACATTTAATGGTTGAATTGATCACTGGATAATCTGGATAACCAATTCCTTGACTTGTTACTCGAATACATTTATTCCAAATCAGAATTGGGGGCATTTTCTGCTTTTTACTTGATATCTTAATTAATTTTTTAATTGAAAATTGGAAATTATAATGTGTGCTATCTTTTAAACGCCTATTGATCGGAGACTTACGATGATCCTCATGAATCCCTCATAAAAGCCAGGGTCCTGGAAACTAGAAAATATTTAATGAGTTACCGATTTAGATGATTTGAAAATATAAAATTGATCATGTTGGTTATAAATTAAATAAAATGATGAAGATAATATTAGGATTATGAATAAAATTAAGCAACAAATTAATTTTGAGAGATCCATTAATTGCTACATATTATGAAACAAAAAATAATTTAATAAATAATCTTTAAGCTTTATAAGAAAATTCTTTTTATTTATTTTAGCTAAACCACGTTACATAATTTTAAAAAAGTCATTCAATTTCATTTTTCTTTCTCTTTAGATCATTAACGTATACTTAAACGTACTATATTCTACTAGAAGAATCAACACACAAATGAACATACAAATATTGACATAATGTAAATTAAATTGAAAATATTCATAATATACTTTGAAGATTTTCTAGGGACCGCGGCTCATTTATTTATTTTTTAATTTTATTTATAACGAACACCAAAAGGTACATACTACAAACATGCACACTTACAATGGATAATAAAAAACAATAAAAATAAATGCATTTTAATAAAATTATAACCTCAAAAATAACTGAAAAATTTTTGAAAATGAAATAAATTTGCCAGAAAAATTATAAGAAAAATTATATATAAAAAAGTCAAAAGTAATGTGATTATATTTAAGGAAAAATGAAGATAAAAACCCTTAAAGAGCTAATAATCCGAATTTCTTAGAGTTTGCACACATCCTTGTGCGATTCCCGAAAAAAAAAAGATTTTTTGAAAAAAAATTTCTAAAATTTCTTTGCGATTCCTCAAAATAGCGCAACTTATTCAAATTCTTTAAGATTTAATAATTAAACTGCTCTAGATGATTTGAAATATAAAATTAATCACGTTCGTTATAATTTAAATAATATAATGAAGTTAATATGTATTAACATTATAAATAAAATTATGAAACAGATAAATTTTGAAGGATCCATTAAAAAAAGTCAAAAAATGAAATTATAAAAAGTTATTCACAATAAATATTATGCAAATCATTCACTATAAATATATATATTAAAATATATTTTTTACACGTGAAAATTTTTATATTTTCTGAAAATTGTTCTTTAGTCTCTCATTTTCACTTTCATTTTTTTGGTACTAAATAGTGGGGATTTTAGGACATTATTTGGAATTTAACCCAGCAAAGATAACCTATAAACACCGAATTATCGAAGTTCATATTTCCCAATGAGCAATCCAAATCGACGAAAAATAAATGAAATCTTTTGTTAACAAACAATTTTTTTCGATAAATTTTTAATAAAAGCACTCGCCTTTTTCTCATCTAATAATAATCTTAAGCAAATAAAGAATAAAAAAAGCTATAAAAATGTTCGCCAACACTAAAATTTTAACATTGATTATTTGAATGAAAATAAATTTTAAATGAAAATTTCTTTCTAAAATTTCTCTTTTTTAAACTTCAATTGAAAAGTTAATTGAGCTAAGTTCATTTCAAGATGCATGGATAAGCTATAAATTTACGAATTTTAATGTAGTTACTTATAATTAAACAGGAACATGTAGATCCAAATTAATCAAAGTGTGATTTTAAAAATTGTAAAAGTACACAAACATGAACCTCAATTTCAAAAACAATCTTGCATTAATTTCTAATAAATTAGTATAACAAGTTTACTACAGACGAGTTAATAATTCTTATAAAATAAAAATTAAGATAATATAGGATTTTTAAAGATAAAGTCAAAAAACTAAATATACTCGGCTCTGGTCTCGGTATATGAGTTTGTATACAACCAACAATAGTTTTGCATGGGTTTTGAATAGCGATACAAACATTTGCTGTAGCATTACAACTAGAGATCGGACCGTACCGTACTACGGCCGTATTTTTCGGTATTTATCGGTATTCCGTATCGGTAATACGGTACGGAATACGGTACGGTAAAATTTTGAAGTTTATCGGTATTTTTCGGTATCGGTATTTTTCGGTATTCCGTACCGTTTTACGGAACGGAAACAAAACAAAATACCGATAATACCGATCGATAAAATTTATTAAAGTTTTATTTTATTTTAAGCGAAAAAAGGCTCTCGGCCTTTGATAATTTTCAAAATTTTCGCCTGCGGCGCTAAAAAGGAAAAAATTTTGCTTCTTTGACATACATCTTCTCTAAATTTTTGTCTGCGTGTGTTTATCCCCACTATTTATAAATAAAAATAATTATTTTTAACTAAATTAGTTTTTTAAAATACGGTACGGAATACCGATAAATTTTTATCGGTATTTATCGGTATCGGTATTTTTCGGTATTCCGTACCGTTTTACGGAACGGTAAAATTTTGAATTTTATCGGTATTTTTCGATATCGGTATTATCGGTATTACGGTACGGAATACGGTACGGAACAAAATTCCGATCTCTAATTACAACTATTGGTGTTCGGATCGGAGGTTTTGCTAGAAAAATCGGGTTTCGGAGAACGGGGTATCTTAGTTAAAAGATTGGAAGATATTAGTTATATGTATGTATGTATTATTCCTATTATTTTTAACATTTTATTTTTGCTTTATTATAATTTTATTAAAATAATAATTAAATAATTTTATTAATTTTAAAAATAAATAAGTATATATTTTAGGTAATAATTTTCTTTAAAATTTATTGTGTTGTTGTGATTGGTTGCCATGCATTTGTATTAGATGATGTCATTCCCATTCCAAAAAGTAAATTTTGTGAAGTAACATTTAATGTGTTACTTGGAGAAACTCCTGTAGATGCAAAACAACTGGCTGCCAATTGCTGTATTTGTTGCTGCATTACTTCATTCATCGAAGGACCTCTAGCAATTAAATGTGAAGTAGTATCTAATAAAGATGATGATGAAGAAGAAGATGGTAATACTCCCATTGATGAAATATTGAAATTGAATGGGGAATTGGAGAAATTTGATGGCTGAAATTTTTTAAATTTATATTTGATAATTAAAATTAAGGTAAAATTATGTTTGAGGCCTTAGAATCTAATATGGCCGATAGTTCAATAGTTACATAATTAAAGTGATTTAAAATTCACAAATTTAGAATTCGAGAATTGGAACAATATGTTAATTCATCCCACCTACTGTAACTGTCTAACAATGTTAAACATAAGTTAAGGTCGGACCTTAAGACACTTCGTTTTTCCGTATAATTATTTATTATTTAAAATGACATACTCCAGGCTTTGCTTGATTAAAGATGAGAGAGTTTCGCGCAGTTTCTGCTAAAGCATTAGATGATGATGCTTGGGCTAATTCTGAGATTGATTGAATAGTTTGGCTTGAATTTTGATTTCTATTAATTTGTTGTATTATACTTCGTTGAGATGACGTTGAAGATGATTGACCACTTGTGCTTGCTGAAATCTATAATTAATATGTGAATTTGAATACTAGAAAATATCAAATCCCTGACTAACAAACACATTAAAAATTATAGTAGATGATGGGAGAAATATTTTATGAGCATGGATAAATATTAGGCCAGATCACTTTAAACGATCAAGCAAAAAAATCCATCCTTACTAAACTTGGTTTAAGCTCTAATATTTTTTAATTCAAATAATAACATCAATTTACAACCTCCCTCTCTCTTTGTCTACGGTCAGAAACGGCTGAATCAATTGGTTGGCAAAAATGAGGAAAATTTGAAGGTCTATCAGGGTTTGAATTGATTAAACGTCCTTGGCGAACCTTTTGAATCAAAGAAATTCAATTTATAATTTATCTAAAAATAAGGTTACAGCAATTTTTGGAATTCTCCTTCCATCATTATAACGTTTAGCATGCATACAACCAACACATTTGTAATAAGCTGTTTCTATTCCACGTTTATCCTGATAGGAAGAGGAATAGCAAAATTCCTAGAAAATTTTAATACTCAATGAATTTAAAACTACTAACAAATCTCTTTCCTGGCTGTAAAACACTCTCATATAAAACCATCCTTCTTTTATATTTTGTACATCCATAATTGACTGCGCCAAAGTCAATAGTTGGTGCCATTTAATTTGAAATTTTCTTGAATAATTATCTTAGCTAATTAGTTTTTGACCCAGTGAGAATGGGAGTAATTAAAAAAGAGGGCAATTAAACGAGTTTTGAACTTTGAGAGAGGGTAATTATTGTTTCAACTCTTCGTTAGAGGGGTAGGGAGAGGGCGATTAATCGAGATAAAATTTTCGAGTGGGGGAGGGGGGATCGAGACAATACGGCCATCTAAAAATTAGTATAAATATTTTGAGATTTTTCTTTAGAAATTTAAATTAAATTAAAGAATTATTGTGATAAAATGAAATAAAAAAAAACATAATAAAATAATGGAGTTTCTTAGTTCGTTCTTTTTAAATATCTGCCAAAATAAGCTTCTTTATTTTCAAGTAAATATATACTCTGACACTTAAACATATTTCAAAATCATTAGTTCGAAAATTAATTACCCCATCACGCTGGAGAGGGTAATTAAGAGGTATAAGATAAACATTTAAGGTTGTTTTAGAAAAGCCAATTAAAGAAATTTTAAGATAGTAATTATTTTTTAAACCTCTTGCACGGGGGTAATTATTTGAGCTAAGGTATTATTTAAGAGAATACGGTGAATATTTTGATGAATCATTAATTTAAATTCCGATAAAAAAATTAATTAGTATATATTTATCTAGAGAACTTCACTACGTTATAAATTATAGTATATTATTTTGTTTTTTAAATAGATTTTATTTTTATTCAGAAAATATAAACAAATTTTAAAAATTAAAAAAATATTATCTAAATATAGCTATATTAAAATAGCACAGCTAAAAACAAGACTTACTTAGAAAAAATCTAAAAAATATTATGGTAATAAATATTCTAAATTAAAGATAAACAAGGATAAAAGGGATGATCTTTGTTTTCGTTAAGAAATCTTTAATAAATTTAATTACCATTTAGGATCATGAGCCAGATATGACAATCATGTTTAACATAAAAATATTTTCAAATGTTGGCAAACCTAAGGAATTACGATTTTTAAGCGTAAAGCCAAAAGAACGAAAACCAATGTATGTACATGGAGGATTATATTTAAAATGTTTGGATGTTTAAATAAATTAAATAAGCTTTCCTTTCCGGTTTTTTAAATTTATATGAACATTATACATATGTAAGTTTTACATATATTCTAAATAAAAGTAATCTATAGGTTGGTTTAATAATAGATATTATAAAGATTGGTGTATTTTAGTACAGATCTCTTGGAATGAGTTCATAATCCTTTGTTGACACCGTTATTTTCCTTATTTCAACATTAAGCATATTGAATTTAAAACGTTTAATTCCGAATAATAAATAAAAATATTTGCTTAATTTAGACAAATATAAATTAATGAAGATTGAATATTCGTTTAAGCGCTCATAAAATAGCGCTAGAATTTCTCAATCCTAAGGATAACATGTTATATTTGCTTCAAAACATTTAGAAGTTTAAAAACTTCTAAACATAAGAAGTTGAATAGAATGGCATACCACCCAATTTAATGCGATGTTTGCATTTTAATGGTATTTCATTCTACATATTTCAAATATTAAGTTACGGAGATGTTCATTAAATCGTTTAATTGAGAAAATTTTTTACATGTTCAGCCTTATTTACTAAAAATATGATTAAAACTTAATAAAATAAGAATTATCTAGCCCCAGAGAAATACATATAGGTATAGCTAAACTCACTCAGTTTGATGATATCTTTATTAAATATTAAAAAAAATAAATCTAAGGACGTCACCAAATATTTTACTGAGCTTAACAGTGCATTAAATAGTTCCGAAAATTAATAAGAATTATAAGAAATACTAAGTAGAAATAAATATTTGCCAAATACACTTGTTACGACCCGAGGTGTCCGAGATTTAACTAATGCGACGAGCACAATAATAACACTTTATCACGTGTAGAAATGAACAATGTGTAGGCGAAGGGAATGGGACAGACGAAGGAGATCAGTGACTAGCCCCGCTAGTATGATCCGACAAGACTGACGATTTAACTGGCTTTTATACTAAACACTTTAAGGGCTGACGCCCATACACAACACCTCCCCCCTTGAAAAAAAGGTTCGGCTTTCACTTAAAGCCGAAGCTTTACAATTTTAAACATTCACTATAGCTTCCATGCTATCAATACAATTACACTAAGCCAGTTCGTCTAGTCTCACTAACACTCAACTCACAACAAAATACAAAAATGTGGGATGACAAAAGGGCAAAACGAAAAACAACAAATAAAATTACAACAATTACAAAATCACAAAATTTGTCATCTTATTCCACATTTTATTTTTCTTCTGACAGCGGACATCTACAGTGCATACAACAGCTTCCATCACTGCAATCGCACGTCCTGAATTGGCCACACTGTTGATCATGACACTGCTTGTCCATAAGCTTTTCACTTTTATTTTTCACTTTTCACTATTTTATTTTCTCACTTTTATTTCACTTCCATTTTTTTTCACTTTCACACTTTCTATTGCGGCACTTTTCACATATTTACTTTTCAACACTGTGCCCAATAATATTTTCAGTGAATCGCATCACTACTAAAATTAAGTGAAGTCAAACTCCACAACACTAACATTTAGCTAGTGTGCAGTTCGGTGCCGTTTCGCCGTGTACTTTTTAGGATGGCTCGTGGTTGAATACTATCACTTCAATACTACTACTACTAACTAACCACTCAAAGGATGCATGTTACATCTCGCCTCCTTCAAAGACTCAGGTACACACAACACTTCACTGAACTTACACTATGTGTAGTCTGGGTTGCTTCACTGACTTGCGCTGGATAATACTTCAATCACTAATAATACTCACTCCTTAGCGCCTTGACTCACTTCACTTATTTGGTCTTACCCACCTTTCTTGGCTGCCAAATTTTATTTTATTCACTTCACTATTTGGTCTTACCCACCTTTCTTGGCTGCCAAATTTAACTTTTTTCACTACAATTCAAACTTCATTATTTGGTCTTACCCACCCGTAGGCTGCCAAATTTAACTCTTTTACACTTTTCACTTTTCTCAATTTCTGGACTTACATTCTCTTGAATGCCAGACACTTCAAAATTTGATCGGCCAAAATCTGCGCACTTCCAGGACCACTAGGCATTTCAGCCTTAAACTTAGACCACTGGCACTCGCACTGAGTCCTTTTTCAGGTCACTACAGGTCCATGCGCACTAACATTTCACTCAATTCACTTTCGACTCATGCCGATCACTTACTACGACGTCTGTCCACTCAAAATCAAACAATCACTTCAATAATTGCCAAAGCAATTCACTACACTTCGCCACACTTCACTTTTTGTCGACCGCGCCATTGTTACGACCCGAGGTGTCCGAGATTTAACTAATGCGACGAGCACAATAATAACACTTTATCACGTGTAGAAATGAACAATGTGTAGGCGAAGGGAATGGGACAGACGAAGGAGATCAGTGACTAGCCCCGCTAGTATGATCCGACAAGACTGACGATTTAACTGGCTTTTATACTAAACACTTTAAGGGCTGACGCCAATACACAACAACACTCTAATAAATTTTAAGGATTAATAGAAAGTTTAATTTGTGAAGATTTAAAAAATTAAAAGATTAATCACGTGTTTGTAAAATTACATATGAAATTAATAATGAATAAATACGATGCAATAAATTAATAATAATAATTTTTAAAAATTTAATTTTTTGGATTATTTTTTGAATATGTAAAGATTAAAAATAAATAAAATACTTGGAATTAAAATATAAATTGTGAGGCAAATAATATTTTATTCAGTAAATAATCATTAAAAATATAATTAAAAAATGTTAAACATGTGCAAGCAACGCTTAAAACCCAGATTTGATGTTCCACATCCGCGGAATTCGTACTCGTAACACGTACTTAGGAATATGTTCAAGTAAGTCCTCTACCTATCATAATTTGTCCTTATATTTTTGAACGTAAATTTCAAAATCTTACGGGTGTTAAAGTTTCGGTTTAACCGGAATTGAAGGACTGGAACCGAAACCGGAACATTACAACCAAACCGGAACCAAAAAAATCCCGAAACTTCCGGCCTACCGGAACTCCCGGAGAAGCACTAAAAAACATTAAAAACCCATGGTTTCTCACGTTTAATAGCTTATATCTTGGCCCAAATTTGTTTCCGTGGTATAATTTTGAAGTCATTCGACTCAGCTCATCAGCTCTTTCGATTGACAGATAAAATGTCCAAATCTAAATCCCAAGGTAAAGTGTACTTTAGCCTTTTATTTTTATATTTTGATTCTTAAAATACTCCAATAATTAAATTTGATAAAATGTTTGAACATATTTTTTTTGCTTTTATGATACATAATATTTTTGAATAAACTAGAGGGTAATTATTTGGGAGGGTAATTATTAAGATAAGTACACACTAACTTTGATCCCGACTAACCCTGCCCCATTTTATATTCGATCTCGACCAATATCTCTAACCCTGACCCCGAACGATTTTATCGAACCAGACCCCGAACTCCGTAACACCGATAAAAGCCCCAACTCTGAAGGTTAGGGTTCAACTCTACTTTGAACCAAAAATAGAAATCAACTGGTTTGGCTGTAAATGATTTAGAAAAATGCTTACTAAAGGCAAAAGCAAATAATATTATGCCAATAACTTTTGGCTTTTTTCGCTCTCCACGTCACTCTTTTTTCTCTTTTTAACTGCCAATCTAAAAAATAAATCCCCTATTTCCGATGCTCCATCTAAAGAATTAAATATATACATGTGAATACAGTAATTTATTTAAAGCTTTTAAATCTGTTGATTTTTAGAGTATTAAATAAATAAATAGATTTGTAAACAAAATTAGAAAAAACTGAAAATTATTTTCTAAATATACATACATTTTTCCGCTTATTAAATTAAGTTTAGTGA